CCTTCAAAAAAAAAAAAAAAAAAAAAACCAAGAACACATTTACTTTTTAATTCGATTATGATGATAATAATAGTCGAACAACAATCAAACTATATATCATTGCATTATATTACTTATACTAACAATCTTACCTTCCTCTTAAAATTTATGGAGATTTTTAAAATTTATGAGAGTAGCTTTGTTTTGATTTTTAAAGACTAAATGAAGTATGTTAATAATGAAGTTGAAAGGGATAAAAATAGGTGTGGATATTAGGCAACACAAGGAGAGGCGCTATCATTCTAAAGAGGAATAGCACCAAAAGCAGCCGCCGACCTTAAACAAACCTAGATTCAGCTCATTCATCAACAGATGAACAATTTTGAACCAACCCAATCTCACGGGATAACAACGTTTCTTCACGGGCACCAAAATCAATCATCTTTTTGGACTCACTCGCCGCTCTAATCACTTCCTGTAATAATTCCTAGATCTGCTTTTTCACACCCAATCACCGACCTAATCACTGCAAGGAGAGTAAGATTCAAATTATCTTGTTGATCGAATATCTTAAGGCAAGAACATTGTTTGAGATTCGAATCACTCCACAAGATCGATCATGTCTAGCTTGAATGATTCTTGTTGATCAAATATCTCAATGCAAGAACACTTGTTTGAGATTCGAATCATTCCATTAGCAAGATTGATCGTGTCGAGCTTGAATGATTTTATACGCAACCTAAACTATATAGAGTTGCAAAGAAACTTAGTCATTGGTTAAAGAGAGCACAAAGCCTCATTTTAGTATATTTTCAAGTCTACTCACAAATACAACATACATGGTTTTATATAGCCTCAAAATGAAACTATTAAAGACATTCCAAGAGTGGTAACATTCATCATAATTAACCATGATAAGTAAATATGATGTAAATGTAACTTAAAGTAAATAAAATGTCTTAAAATACATTAATGAAATACAATAATAACTCTGAATGGTAATCCACATCAAATTTATAACAATGAAACCTTTTTATGTGGCAGGAATTGAAATATCTTTTGATAATTTCATCAACATTTTCTTCGCATATTCATTAAAATATATTGTATGATTGATGTGTTTTGGTTCATCAAAATGAGTGGTTATATGAACTTGCTAGATCAATGGGTATTATGGGGCCATTTCTTGTATTTGTGTTCATGGAGAAGAGATGATATGCTGCATTATGTGTAGCGATGTTGAGGGGTGTGAATTAAAAAGGGAAAAAAAAACGAAGAAGAAGAACAAGGCATGTGGGGAGGTGGGACAGACTAATAGCTGTCTGATTCCATAATTATTGGGGGAAAAAAGAGACATGACGAGGAGAAGATGATGATAATCACAATTCATAGAGCGAGTGATGGAGACAAGAAGCAAACCACCCTTCCCAAACTTGTTCGTTTGGGGCCGCTATCTTTAATCATAGACCAGACCCGTGTTGAGAATTATGGAGAGGAGTAGTCTTACATTGGCTAATTAAGAGGAATATCACGAATTTATAAGTAAGAAACACTATCTTCGTTGGTACGACATCTTTGAACAGTTGATACGAAGGAAATAGGATGACTTACTGATCTTTATTGTAACTCGTAGCCACTAACAGTAACGTATTAGTAACATACGAAGCTAATGATATATCTGTGAGCTATTTCGATCTTTCAACTAACCTAAATGGCTAAGTAATAATGTTGAAGTAAACTGTGTACGTTTCATCCATGAAGCTCATCAATGGTGCCATGAGAAAGTTCCTTGTTGGTCCTTTTGCAACAAAGCTAATAGGATGATACTGACTGACTCCAGTTTGCATCGCAAAGCTCGAAGCTTGATCGAACGCAACGTCTGATGACGACTTTGGCTTGCAGCTTAGCTTCAGCTGTACACCAGATTTATAATTCACTCCACTGTAGACAAAGCAGTCTTCATTGTTTGCTGACTTCAAGGATATAGTTCCATTCTTTCCATCCAATCCCTGAATCACAAAGAAATCAGAGGACAGCCCAACAGAGTTTGATCCTGCAATTACAAGCTTCTGATCTGGTCCTTGAGTTGCTAGAACCATTCCTGGAAAATCAAATGGTTCTAGCTTGACCCGTTTGCCAATAACATCTTGCAACGTTTTGACGTTGGCAGTCGTGTCATTTAAAACGAGCCTGAATGTGGCATGAACAGCCGAATCGGTCCCTTGTCCAGGATACATTTCCATTGTTATTGTTTGGTTTGAGTTTGTTAAGGCAAAAGATGCGTTTCCAGACATTTGGGACAAAGTAACAAGAAAAGTATTGTACGAGGAAGGAACTGGAGTTATCCAGTCTGAAAAAGAACCGGTCGTTCCAGTTTTGATATCCTTGTCACCACCACTATGGCCTGCAAGCAGATAGGGGCCAAACAGTATTGCTTTGGTGGAAGCAAATTGCGTTCGATCATCTGAGTATATTCACACAAGATTGATTTATTATCTAAAATTATAATGACACGATTATGTCAGCTTGGATGGATATATATACCTCCAATAGCTTCTGTTCTTAGGTTTATGGGTAGTACAATGCTTAACTTGTCCTTTGAGCTCCATTTGTTGGTAACTGGTTGGAAAATGCCTGCAGCATAAGCAAATAGGAGTGTGAAACATAAACGTTTACTGCAAGGGTGTGATATTAAAATGCTGTTTCTTGCCCTATGAACAAGCAAATCCAGCAGAGAGTTATGGCGTTGAGTACCATTAGTAATCTTTCCCACACTCTGACCATTTAGTAAAACTTGTGCGCCACTCGCACTTGTCCAGCTCGGAATTCGCAAATTAATGGTAGATGATTGGACTGATTCCTGCATTATTCAGGAAGCATACAAATTAGTCAGCGGTGGGCTTAGGCCGTTACATATACTTGTTCAAGAACACTATAAGAAAAGTGTGAACGACCTTGGGAGAAAACGTCATTGTCATCCTGAGGTTTGGATCATCTGAATGAACAGGATCAACGACCTGATTAAGCAAAACATTTCCTGATTTCCAATTGAGAGAACTTGATATGTACTGGATAACATAAAGTGTAGGAGTTTGTGCTCCCTCCTCGAAGTATATGGAATCGCCCAACTTGGAGAATGATTCAATTCCTGAATCAAAATAAAAGAAATAAGAACAAGTAACAGAAACCTTCCAAGACAAGAGTATGAGAATAAAACAGATCATTTTGAAGTAATTAATGAAGTCAAAACCTGTGCCATAGCAGCACCAAAAAGTTTCAAATGGGGTGCCCCATCCATGGTAGCTTCTGGCTTTAGAACTTCCACTACCTAATGGAAGCATGTAAATCATTACCCCAGGGTCGGTTCCTCTTTGGATGCTCAGCACCCCATTTGTAAGAGCCCGCTCATAATAATCAGCATATGCTACTCCCTTCGTCCATCTAAACAGGTTGCGGGAGACCTATAATATCATCATATTCAGTAAAATGTCTATTTCCAAATGAAGCTAGCTGAGAATTCAAACAATTCCACAAAAAATATAACCAAAGGTAAGATTTTCACCTTCAGCATGTTGTAAGTTGTACACGATTCTTCATTCTCCGCTCCTAGAGTATCTGCCAATCTCTTGGGATCCGTCCTGCTCATACGTCAAAGGAGGAAACAATATAAACGTAGAAAGTGCATCGAAAAAAGGTACGAAAGCCCCAACGAAAGGACCCAAGTGTTCATACCAGAACTCATGCGCTGATGTCCCTCCTGTTGCATAGCTGTGAGAGGAGTTAATACTGTCCATAAAAAAAGTGGACATTTCCTGGAATAAAAATGTATAAACAGTTCACTAAAAACAGCTTTCTAAGTCTGACATGACGTTCAGACACGAACCAATTTCTATGATCCGACCAGAAATGGAAGGAAGTTCTTAAATTTTGTGTCTTTGTAAGGAATGCCACCTTGTCTGTTCTGTTTCTCATAATGACAAGAATTTAAAGAAAATCCACTGCAGACAAATTAATGTGAGGAAACTTACCTTATACAGTGGATCACCAGTGAGTTCATACCGCAGTTGACCTCCGACAACAATCGGGATATGTGTGTTGGCATGGAGACCCGAAAGGCTTTCGGCCTAAAATAAAAGGAGAAGGATCTTTTAACTGTGTTTTATTACAACATTTGTTCTCAAATCTGGGGAGCATACAACAGTTCGGGTAGCACGACAACTCGCTCTTACCCAAATAATCGACAGTGAATGCTCAATAAAACACTAATTCTACAGTACAACTCCGGATTGAACAAGGAATAGTTACCTGAACTGCAAGAATGCCTAGAAAGCACGGTTTGTCGAAAAGGTGTGCGAGAAGTAAATGCGTTGTATTTCCCTGCATGTATACTTCATAAGCCCCTCTAATACATAGATACCAAAATCCACATTAAGACTCAAAAACTCATAAAAAAAAAAGTTGGGAAATTTATAATAAATGACAATTCAATTTGATGGATATTACTGAGAGTTGTGTTA